AATCAATCTTTATGTTTCACTCTTAATTCACAAATACTTTTCTATCTCAAGAGGAAAATAAGAACATTCAGCTCAAATAATTTATCAGGGTTCATACGGTCCTTAAGAGTCCTTAAAAGTCCTTAAGTTTTTGGAATCAATTTTTGGTCCTTAAAAGTCCTTAATTTCGGCCAAAATCGGCAGAAGGTCCTTAATTTTAATCATGTGAAATTTCTGTCCGTTTTTATGACTGCCATATTTTTTTTAGTGTGAATTAGCATTTTGGAGGTATATTTTTGGCGATTCATTGATAAATATGGTTATCTTTTGAATGGGTTATAATTTGTTCCTATTTCTAATGTAAATGTGGGATACTCTAGTTTTTGAGCAAGAAGTGAAATATAAGCATTTAGGAATTATTTCACTTTTTCTAATGAAGAGATCTTAAACAACTTTTCTCTTTTGGAGATGTGAATTCTTTTATTGAACGGCTCTAAATTTGGCAATTTATCAACATTTTGGTGATTTTTAAGATCAATTTCTATAGTAAATTTTTAATTCCAAGACCTGGGAATTTTTCTCTGATTTTTTTTAAAACATTTGTAACATTCATAAATTTCATTAAAATAATGGTAATGTATTGAAATTATATTTAAAAATTAACATTAAAATTTAACATTTTTATTTTTTGTTGTCATATTATAAAGTTCTATTTTGACCACTTATTATATCTGAAAACTTATCACTTATATCATTTATTATATCTGATCACTTATATTTTGAATCTGAAAACTAAACAAGGTATAATGCTATAAAGCACAATTTACGAAACATTTCTTAGCAAAAGCAAAATAGCTATGTAATTAATTAAAGTTATCTTCTTTTTAATTTTCCCATGATAAGAGTTTTCTCATGTTATTGTCTCAGAATATTCAGAATTCTTATGCATCAGTTTTCTCTATAAAATAATTTTGCACATTTATCCTGTGATTTTTTTTTTTTTTTTTTAAATATTTCTGGCTGTTTGCTGTTACAAAATTAGTAGGGGTAATTTTGCTTCAGGACATTAGGCATTACAACGTGAAGAAGGATGCAAGTTGGAAAGTTTAGAAGGGTTTGAAAGCAAGATTTATAGACCCATGATTCTAGAAGATTCTAGAAAAATGTGACAAATGAAAGATATCTCTATGGTATTAACATGTAATGGGTGTATTTCACAGAAAGTTTGCAATGAAGTTCTTACTTTTTGGAGAACATCTAGAAGAACAATGAAAAAGATAATATTTGAATGTTTTACTTCTGATACTAGAATCTTCGTCTTCCCTTTATTTTCTTTATTTTTCACTAGATACAAGCATGGAAAATATTGAAAATGCTTCTAATAGTATCACATGGAGAGGCATTATAGAAAGGATTTTTTTGATTAATAAAGAAATTTGAAGCTGGCAGTTTTAAAAGATTAATCTAATATGTCTTAATGCATCATACACAGGTTTGACGCTAGGCATTGCCTCACCTGGTGCAGTCATGTGGAGCATTAAACTTATCTCTGTAGATCCAAAATTTTGCTGACTAGTGCCTTTCAAAATTCTGCTTCCAGTGCCTGCTCTAAATTCTAAAAGTTTTGCCATGTCTAGATTTTTTGCTCGGTGTGTCACTAAATTCTAAAACTTCTGCCACACCAGCTCTGTAACCGGCCTTTACCATATATATTTCATATTTCTTCTGAATGTTCGTATTACTAAAGAAATAAAATTAGCAGCTTTTTCTATACATTCTAAATGCATCTAGTTTTTTTGGAATTACAGAAATTAAAAAATTCTAAATTGAAAAGGAAGTGTGTTGAATAAAAAAAAAACAAATACATACAGAGAAAGAAAATTATTCTTCAAATACAGATATTATTATGTAAATTACTCACTTGTTTATAATTTCAGCCTTTACTATAATTTCCCATTTCTATTTCCTCCCCAGAATGCAAATCAGTTAGACAGTTTTTAGTTTTTAAACTGAGGTTTTTGGTGCGCAAGGCAGAATGTGTTTTTAATCTCCGCTTGCTCACTGCATTAGTTCCTGCCAGCTCTGATAATTTGTAATTTTTTTCTGCATTATTACTGCTGACATTTGAATTTGCTATGACAATAGAGTTACTGAGCCAGCTTAAATTAAAATTAAATTGTGTAGTCTTTGACCACTGGTCCACAATTTTTTTTTTTTTTTTTTTTTTTTTTTTTTTTTTTTGAATTTGACCGTTCTTCTTTGATAACATCACCACAAGTTGCAATTGATTTTGTTAGCATAAGACCATGCCTTTAAGTTCTTTTTAATAAGAGGCTTATTTAAACCTTTGTAGTTACTTTTAGACATAGCAATAATTTACTTCACGTCTATCGGGGGGTTTTGGACTATTTAACTTTTACCAGATCAAATAAACCCTCATAGGTACATTGTGGAGAGGTTGACAAGTTAGGAGAAAAAGCATGCAGAAACTAGTGAGAAAAATGGTTTGCATATTGAGAGAAATTTCTAATTCTTAGAAAAGATGCTTAAAGAGAAGGAAATCTGTGTAAATTAGCCAAAATGTCTGGGCAGGCTTCAGATTAAAAAGACGCATAAATGTTTTGTTGAGGGTTGTTGCTATAAAACATAAATCTTTTGTAGCTTTTAATGTATAATTATCCTAATATCAATGGCATAAATTCCATGTATTTTAAACTGTGAAATTTTATTGGATTGTGATTTTAATAGAGCTTTTTAAGAAATATTCTTAAATAAGTAAAATTTAATAGTGGTCATGTAAATCCATAATGATTAAGGTTATCTAACTACCTAATTTAATTACTTATAACTAACTGCTTACCCTTAAAAAATATCTTATCATATATTAAAGCGAGTTATTGCCTTTCATTAAAACTTATCATAGTACAAGGTAAAACACATGTAAAAATTCATATAAAACTTATTCTTCATATCTAGTGAGACCTGAAATAATACAAAGCAACTTAGTATCACCTCTGGTGCTTTAGTGGCTTATTGAAACCTTAAAGTATATTAAGTGGGTTACAACCCCTGGAACTCTACACGAAGCTACTACACTAACTGCATCAGACAGAGCCCAACTAACTTTCAAAACATGCGAACTGTGCCCACATCAGGTCTTTCAGTTTTGTTCTGATCAGCAGGTCTCTCTGTAGGCAAGGAGCAGTGGTCACAGCAGCCAGTCTTTTGTTATAAATCATTCTGATTATGATTTTACTTCTCATTTTAACCTATCCTGCTTGACATAAAATCTACCTCTTATTTACTAAACCTCCAGATTGAGCAAGTATGTGACAAAATGAGACATTAAAAAAATCAGTATGAAACTATTAGTAAAACGTAAATAAAATGTCACTTATCTTCTTTCAAATATGCCGAACTATTATAAGTGTAAAATATGTAATGATATTTGATAAATTTCGTAAAGTGTATTTTATTCTCAAACTTATTAATAATTAATGTTAACTAAGTTATGTTTAATAATAATGTAGCCCACTTATGGATATATTTTATTTTTTGGATGGTATTACAAAAGTGAAGTTCAGGCATAGATAATATTTTTAATTGAATTTATAAATTTGCTATTTGCTCATAGGTCCTTAATTTTTTCATTAATGGTCCTTAAAAGTCCTTAAAAGTACTTAATTTCCATGTGCAGAAATGTGTACGAACCCTGTTTATGGATGTAAACAATTTGCAAGACTGTTGTTAGTTTATTTAACAAGATTTCAGGAAAATGCAACTCAGGAAGAAGAAACTTTCTCTGCATTAAGAGAGCTGGTAAATTTGAATTTGCTATTATAGGAAACATGCTTTTCACATATTTGTTTAAACATATTACACTCTCTCAATGTAATTAACTGATATCACATTTTTCAGTACATTATCTTTTTGATAAATTATTTTTTTCCCTTGTTTATTTGCTAACTGCACTTTTTGATTGGAACAAACTAAGAAATCGCTGTTCTTTTTTTAATGTTGACCTGTAATTTATAAGATCATTCTGAGATGTAAGAAATATCTAAACTGTGCTTTTCTTCTCTTATTTAAATTTATAAATTTTATGTAACTTTATCTATTCGTAGAACTGACAGACTGATAAAGCCTTCCAAATGGCAGTGCTTGTTTAGCTATGCCAATGTATATAATTTATCAATCCATACAAAAATTTAAATTCACCAATGTTTTTATTTGCTTATTTAACTGAAGTTCTCTACTTTATTACTCGTATGAAAGAAATAAAATTAGAAATACTAGAGTTTTGTGAAGGTCATCAGAAATAATACACAGACAACCTCCCTTAAAAGGTAAAATAATAACGGATAAAACAATAAGTAATGAATAATTAGAATTAAATTAAATATGAAAGAATAAAAATTTTAATAAATAATAAATTAAAACTAACCAGGCCAAAAGAAAATCTTTTTCAGTAACATAAAATGTTAGTTAATTTTCTTGCTTGACATAGTTTGAAAATGTGTCTTGTTTGTTATTTACTGTGCCTGCTCTTTAAGGTTTACCATATTCAGATCATTTTCTTTTGCTGAAGAGGGCAGGAAAAAAAACTAAACATGTGTTGAATAAGGCTGTTTAAAAGTACCTCTGTTTCATTTTCAGTCATGCTTCAAATTTCCAGAAAAGATATTTCACTTAATTATTAGGTTTGATGCATTATCATAGTGAACTTTGGAAGAAGCTCAGAAATAAGATAAATAAATCTTAACTAAATATACTGTATGGTGTAAACCTCAAAATGAAAACTGGCCTTTACCTTAAAATTTTATAATAAAATATGCTAAATTCAATGATAAACAACAAACACAATCTTCATTTTGCATGCAGCTAGGTGAAATTTGTCCAGGCTGGCATGTTGTTTGAGGGAATTAGGGGAAGGGAGATAGTTTTAAATATAACAGAATCTTAAGTGTACAATATAATTTTTTTCTGTGATTATTTCACTTCTTTTCCCCCTTTCTTTTTAGGTGGCTTACTGTGTTAAAAGAGGAAAATAGCAGCTTAATTGCACCTGTGTGTATTGCAACAAATAAGGCAGATGAATTAATTAAATATTATATGAAGCAAAACTTTATGGAGAAAGCATATATTGTTTCTGTTGCTGCTTGTGAAAGTCTTATGCCAGCTCCCCAAGTGACAGATAATAATGAAAGTATTGTTACGCATGCTGATAATCATTATTACAAACAGTAAGTTGGTTATAGTTGATTTTTTTTAGTTTTATGTTTTTTGCTGTGCCATTTAATGTAACGTGAATTTTTTTTAAGTGTCTGTCTGTGAGTGTAGTACCTAAAATATCTTATAACTGAATTAAACTAGGGACTTTATTAGGCTGTTTATTTTTTCAGGTTGATCAATGAAAATTTGAAACATATGTCTGAACGATACATGTTATGTGAAACGCCTGTAAAAGCTGCATGTTGGTATTTATCTGATGACAAAATTCAAGTAAATCTGAATTGTTTATCATAATAATAGTTGTATATAGTCATAATAAAACCACAATAATTCTGTACTCTTTCATGAGTAGGTTGAATTTTTTAGCATTGTGTGAAAGCCATATAAATGTGAATTACAATTGTACATTTTATTTTAAAAATTAAAAAATGTTTCAGTTTCCAGAACTAGCAGATTTTTTTACAATTAAAAAGGCTAATTTTTTTTAAATTTTTTTTTTAGTTATATATGTAATATTTAAATTGTGTTATCTAATGCTGTATATCAGGATTTATATGCAAATTGAAAGGTGATAATATTGTTGTGAAATATGTAATTAGTTCCATCATTTGATCAGTGTGGCTAGTGTAGAGATTTATGTAAATCTTAAAATATTGCATTCAGTGAAAGAATGTTTCAGTTGTACTTTATTATATCTGTGTTATTTGATTGAGCCAGTGCCAATAAGTCAAGGTTAGTATAAAAATTTTGGCATTTTACATTCATGTAAATATTTTGCTTCTCTTATAATAATTTTCGTGATACGTTTGACCCAGTACCTCAGCTATATGCGCATCTTAAGTTGCTGTAAAATAATTGGAGACTAAAAATGTATAATCCTCAGTTGGTAGATAGACCTGTAATGGTACCTCATGTGGTTGCATGGAGTTTCCATGGTTTTCCCCATGTATAACCCAAATATAAGTCATTTTCTCATAAAATTCTCTATGATGTCATCCCTACATTTACTCTGCTAACTTTTGTGTATTTTTCTTAAGTTACAAAGTGCCTGCTGTGATCATTTCATCTTCTTACTTGCATCTTTTAATTACATTGTTTTGTTTAGTCATTCTAGTATTATTTTTTAATGCTAAATGGATCTGCACAAGTTTTGCTATGAGCTGCATGCTTTGCTGATCACCATTTCCTCATTATAAAGACTTTTAATGTCTTAGCAAGTAAATAATTACAGAAGATTTTAAATGTAATCATATATTGCTAGTAATTTAAGGTTTACAGAACGAATTTCTATGGCACTTCCAGCTTATGATATCATATGGGATTTTGAGAATAATTTTAGGTGTTGCTATGAACTTAAGCACATTTTCATTTAATTACCAAATCTAGAAAGTCTAAATAAGGTATGGTAAATTAAATAGCTTTGTTTATTTTTTATTTTTATTTATTTATTTATTGATGTAATTTTTTTCATCTGTGAATTAATAAAGCACTAATTTCTGTTAATGTGCTTTTTTTACTATGTAATTGAATAGAAATTAAATAAATAGGTATTTATATTTTAAACAACTTACCTTTTCATGAATTAAAATTTATAGGAGGCAAAAGTTTCATAGATTTACATATATATATATATAGGGTGATTCAGAATTCATCATCAATATTTGGTGGGGAGGTAGGGAATAGAAAAATAAGATTTCACATAGTAAAGTATGGGCGCAGATGAACGCATGGTGGTGTAGAGGGTGCTGTGTGTACACAACTTCCATACATAAGCACAGCTGTTTGACATGTGCAGACAGTCTTCATTCGACTAGGTGACTTTGCAGAAGTAACATGAACTGGCATGCGTGGAATGAACTTGCAGATATGCATGTAAATGCCAGGCATATTCCAGAAGGTCCGGTTGTTCATGCAGCACCATTATGAGTCATGCATTCTAGCACATGGTTAGCAGTCGAGCACCTCTTGCAAGTCTATAAAACCAATGCAAAGAAATGTTACATGTAAGATAATAAATGTTTTTTTTCCTTACTACTTCCTTTTTATGTGTTCTTTCCATTATTGAACTCGGGTCATTTTGCCCTACTACATGGAATATTCGCCCATGGATTCCTATGTGAAATCTCCTTCTTTTTCTATTCCCTACCTCCCCATCAAGTATTGATGATGAATTCTGAATCACCCTGTATATACACATATACTGTGTTTGTAATTATTGTGAAAATTTCCTCAGTCAGGATTTAGTTTTTAAAATTAGAAGTGTGGTAGCTCTATTAAAGGCTATTAGAAAGGTAACTAAAAACAAATAAATGTAGTAGTAAATAATTAATAAATAAAATATAAAAAAGTTGAGAATTAATTGAAAATAATTAAATAATAAATTCAAATATTAAAACTCACCTGATCTGAGGCTTTGGTATTAATTGTGATTTCAGTCAAAAGTCGGGTACTTTAGTGACTTTCAGCTGAATTTAAACCCTGACTTTAATATGTGAAGTGTAAAATTACTTGAAAACGCTTTATATAATTAGATGAAAATTTTACTTAATGTGTAATCTCAGATTGCTCAGTATCAATCCTTGGGCTATTTGATTTTTAAACTGTAGTTTCTAATTTGTAAATAGCATAAATTTTTAGCTGAAAGCAAAATAATAAGTTCAAGGTGGAAATTTTTCCCTTATTTTTATTATAAATTCTGTATATTAATCTCATAAGGGAAAAGTAAGGAATTTGTTGTCTGTGCAGTGCCATATCTTTAGGTTAAAATTTTAGTACAAGTTATTTATTTTCTGTGAACATTCTGCCTAGTTATATGATTTCATTTTCCATTTCAGTTGTGTTCTCAGTTAATTTTAGGTACTTGATATTTTATGTATGCCATCATCAGAATTTCGTGTACACTGTTTTTATTCTGTCCCCCACCCATGTTACATTGTTTAACAAAAGTGTTTTAGACTTGAGCATTCATAGTTTTCAATTTCAGGATGCTGTGTACTGTTTATTGAGAGGAAATGAGCTAGAACTTGCAGTAAGCTTGTGCCTAAGTTTGGGGATTAAAAATTCTTCCTTAAAAATGGCTGTTACATACTTATCTTGGAGATGCATTCAAAAAGGCGATTGGTAAAATGCTTTTTTGCAATTATTTTGAGAAAATAATTTTGTGAGAAATTTTTAAATGCTTTTAGATGAAAATAGAAGTAGTTATTATATTGATAATAATTTTTGTAATGATCAGATAGATTTGTGTCTTGAAATATATAAAATGTACATTGCTTGGTCACATATATTTGCTTTTCAAGTATATAAAATTTACTTTGCTCATATTTATATTTTTCATATGGCAGAATTATTATGCATTAACCCTCTCACTGTGTATCCCACGATTTCCATGGGCAATGTAGAAGTAGCAAAATTTGCTCAACCCGCAATTTTCGCAGGGATGAATTTTTGCCTTCTATTTAACTGTGCAACCTGCTCTTTCCAAGTTCAAGGTTTCCTTTCAGCTTTTCTGTGATTTTTAAATGTTTATTTAGATGTGGGCTAACAGATGGCGCTAATTGTCCACATTTCTGCCAAATATACAAGAATACGTAATGTAGCATTTTGTGTGCGCTTTTCAGAGTTCAAAGATGTCTGGCAGGAACCGTTTCACGAGTGATATAACCTATATTCCTGACGATATTTCCAACACTGATAGTAGTTCTGACTCTGATTTCAAGTATATTGAAGATAGTTATAGTGAAACTGGTGAGAATTTTTCAGATTCCTCTGCAGATAGTGGAATCTGAAAATTCAGTTTCTATTGAAAACGTTCAACAGTGGTGCAAAATATTTAAAATATTACATTATGCAAATATTTTCATTAATATATATGTTTTGCCTTTGTATTTTATAAAATAAATCATAATTTAACCAATATTAATTTTCAAAATTTTCCTTTTATATCATTATTCTTAGTATTCTGACATCCTTTTTCTATGATCTAATTCCATACTAAAAAAAAACTTTTAAAAAATTCTTTTGTATAATTTAACTCTAAAATATATGTAGATTTCAACTATGTAATAAAAAGAATACGCAATTTTTGAACCTATTTTGATAAAAAATGTACGCAGTGAGAGGCTTAATTTCAGAAACGTGTTAAATTTCCAGCAAGTATCAAGGAATAAAACAAGTTAACTTTTTAAGAAAATATCACAAAACAAGTTAAATTAAGTTTCTTTTGTGCTTTTACTCTGTGATATGTGTACTAGACATTGAAGAAATTATTATCATTATTTTACAAAAATTAATATTAGTATTATTGGTAACAGGTATTGCAATACTCATAAAACAGGTGTCATGATCATTCTAAGGAATTCTTAAATGTTTTGAAAATCTGCAACTAAAAAAGAACAAAGAAATTATTTCTAAAACAAGTAGTGCAAAAATTTAGAAATAAAAAATAAGTAATAGTAGATTCAAAACCAGATGGAACATTTTAGAGGCTATGCTGAAGCTTTTATACAAAGTTGCAAATTTCATTAAAAATTGAATTTGAAAACTGATATTAATTTTATGCAGAAAGACATGGATCTATTAGCGGTTCGAATAGCAGCATTGCATTAGTATGCAGCAAAGATGCTAATTTATTTAATAATATTAAATGTTAAAATTTGTGCTGCAGGAATTGTCAAAACTGGATAATGTATATGATAAGCTTTTAAATTAAAAGAACTAATAAAAGGAATAAAAGACGAATTAATTACTTGCAATTTCTTACAACTCTGGAGGGATAAAAATAATGAGATATAGGATGTTTGTTTAATATAATTCATATATCTACCATAATTATGTTAGTCATAGAAGTAATAAAGCAATGGAAACTCAAATATCTTCAATAATATGATGATAATTCTTTATTGTCACCATAACAATGTTGATAGCAAAATGTTCAATAAATAAATTCCATCTTCATTAAAAGAATATCTTCACCAGATAATTAAAAAATGAACACATTCCATGGAAATTAATATACAGAGTACTTCTAAAAAGATAGGAAATGAAATAGAAATATCTTACAATAATAACACAAGGGTAAATATTTAGATCTAATTTATTACCATTTTAAATTTTAAAAAAATCTTTATTCAAAAGCAGCATTAATTGTTGCTAACTGAGTTTATCCAAACATTCAGTCATCAGCAAATGGCATAGTATTACATAATTTGCATATTCTTTGGGCCATTTTAAATTTACAGAACAGACAAAAATAACATAAAATAGATTAAAAATTTTTTCAATATATTTTTAATGCTTATTGCCATTCTTAATGCTTCAAGGATTTGTGCTTTATTTGCATAGACCATTGATTTCAACTAACTCAACAAAATGCCTTCTAAAGCAGTTCAATCTCAGCTTATGGGAGGCCAACTAACAGTTGCATTTCATGAAATTATCCTTTTATGAAACTTTTTTTGCAGTATGTCAGTAGTGGCATAAGCATAGTGATGCCAATATACCATTAATCACATCATACAGTGACCTTTTGTGAATTCTGATGCATGACTTCTGAATTTTTTTCACATCCAGAATGCTGATTTAATTTGTTCACATATCCATTCAAGCAGAATTGAGTTTCATTTGCAAAAATGTTTTAAATGATGCAAATATTCATATCATGTATTTTTAAATTTAAAGAAATCTGTTTTGTAAAAATTACAAAATCTAACTTTTTATACATACCTGCATTCCCTATTTATATAAGAAAATTTTGTATTTGTTCTAAAAATATGAAACATGTTACTCCCATGACAAAAATTGATGGATTCATGGAGATATGTTATATTAAAGTTAGACGTCATGGTAAGTAGCCATACTCAAAGCATGAAATACACTAATGTTTGTGAAAAATGGAACACGATGAAGGAATTGTCGAAAATGAAGGAATTCATTCCACATATTACTGATAGTGGTACAGATATATGATCAAATTTACAAGACAAAAAATAAAAGAAATGCCGAAAATCAGTACATTGTGTGTCTGCAATGTTGAGAGCCTCTATACATGGCATTGAATCATACAGGCTTTGAATGTAATCCTGGGGCATGGCATTCCCTATGACTTTGACTTGATGTCAAAGTTCAGTCTTAGTGTGTGCCTTACCAGCGAGTCGCAACGATGCACGTATGAGCGAGTCGCCTACTGATGAAACCCCAGACATGCTGAATGGGTGATATATCCGGGGAACAAGCAGGCCATGGAAGAAGCGAAACCTGTTGTGCCCTAAAGAAGGCTTGTGCAGTCAGAAATGTGCATGGGCATCATCCTGCTGAAATACAGCACCTGAAATTCATTGAAGAATGGGTAGGACCTTTGGCTCCACAACTTCCCTTATATAGCGATCACTGTTGAAGTTGCCTGCAATCTGCACTAGATGGAATGAACAATTGTACTCCACAACTCCCCACACCATGATGGCAGGCGTTTGTGCAGTATAATGTGGGATAAAACACTGTGGGAGCAGACGTTTCCCACTGCAACATGTGACGCATATTTTTCTATCATTGTACTCCAGATTGTAGCGAGATTCATTGGAGAAAACGACTTGTTACCACAGGGTATTCTAACCACTGTGTTGATATTCCCTTTGAAATTGGAGACATCTGTGATTCAATGACGGGGGAATTCTGCTGGGGATGGGGAACCCTTGCACTCAGTTTGTCGTGAACATTGTGAGTTTAAGAGAAAATAATGAGCGGTTTGTTAAAATTTAGATCAGATGAAAGATCTTTTAATATATAGCATTTTAATACTATTTAGCACAATGTAATAGGCTCATTTTACAAGTACGCAACATCCACAAAAATGATCGTTACAACGCAGTTCGATCATCCATCTTTTCTGAACAACAATCTCTCTCGTTGCCATTCCGTAACAGAGAAACTTACCTCTCATGGAGTTCGATAGTGGCGCGTCATTCTCCCCACCTTGAGTTTGGGGATACAAACTCAAAACAGTAATATAATGATAATACATACATACAATTTTGAGATAACAATAACGTACATAATAATAATAGAAATATTTCAAAATATTAGAATGCAAATTGAAATCAATATTTTAGAGTTCAAACACAGAAAGTTCAAAAGTTTGTTTAGAAGTTTATAAATCCAGTCTTTTAACTGGTTTTTATTTTCGTCCTGAGCGAGACACGCGAACAGTTTCATTAGAGTCAGTATTAAGCTCAGGATTTTCAGCTACCACTTCCGGAACCTTCTGAGGTTCCGATACGACTTGCTCGTAATTTGGGGTCAATTCCAAAGGGATACAGTCGTTGGATTGGTCTTAATATGTTTCCCTTTTCAGTTCGCAGTTTCACAAGTCTGATGATTCCATCTTTTCCTGGAAAGAGTTCCAGTACTCTCCCTAGCAGCCAATGGAGCCTTTTTTTATCATCTGTACCAATTAACACAATGTCACCTACATTTATTTTATCTTCCCTTTTGTTAACTGAAGAACGAAGGAAACCCAGATACTCCCTTTTAAACCTTCGTTTTAGATTTTCACGAACCTTTTGAATATGTCTCCATCTCAAAACAATATTAGTCTTTTCAATTTGATCCAAATCAGGAACATCATTTAATGGAATGACCTGAAGAAACATTGAAGGGGTCAAGGTCTTCAGATCTTGTTCCTCGGATATGTAAGTTAACGGTCTGCTAGATTCGTTCTCTGATCACATTCGTCTGTGAATGCGAATCTATTCACAGACTCAGTCTGTGAATAAATTCGCATTCACAGACGAGAGTCTGCAATTCCTCGTAAGACAAACAGGAGCATCCAAGATTTTTTCAAAATCCCAATCAAGCGTTCCCAGGAGCCTCCCCACCATGGAGAGGAGGGTGGGTTAAACTTCCAACGAATTTCGTTGACTCTAAATTCACTTTCAGTTGCAGTCCAATCTAATTGTTTCAGAGCATTATTTAGTCCTGTAAAATTAGTACCATTGTCTGAATACATCACAGAAATTCGTCCTCTTCTGGCTATAAACCTACGCATAGCTTGGATGAAGTCATTGGTACTCAGTGAAGGTATTAGCTCAAGATGGACAGCTCTAAATACGGCGCAAGTAAAAAGT